TTTGCTTTTTGTTGAGGTGGTGAGCTCTTTATACATTTTGGATGTCAACCCTTTATCGGATGTGTCATTTATGAATATATTCTCCCATACCTTAGGATGCCTTTTTGTTCTATTGATGGTGTCCTTTGTTGTACAGAAGCTTTTCATCTTGATATAATCACACTTGTTCATTTTTGCTTTTGTTTCCCTTGCCCAGGAAGATATGTTCATGAAGAAGTTGCTCATGTTTATGTCCAAGAGATTTTTGCCTATGTTTTTTTCAAAGAGTTTTATGGTTTCATGACTTACACTCAAGTCTTTAATCCATTTTGTGTTTACTTTTGTGTATGGGGTTAGACAATGATCCAGTTTCATTCTCTTACATGTAGCTGTCCAGTTTTGCAACACCAGCTGTTGAAGAGGGTGTCATTTCCCCATTGTATGTCCATGGCTCCTTTATTGTATGTTAATTGACCATATATGTTTGGGTTAATATCTGGAGTCTCTATTCTGTTCCACTGGTCTGTGGCTCTGTTCTTGTGCCAGTACCAAATTGTCATGATTACTGTGGCTTTATAGTATAGCTTGAAATTGGGGAGTGAGATCCCCCCCACCACTTTATTTTTCCTTCTCAGGATTTCTTTTGCTATTTGGGGTGTTTGGTGGTTCCGTATGAATTTTAGAACTATTTGTTCTAGTTTGTTGAAGAATACTGTTGGTAATTTGGTAGGGATTGCATTGAATATGTAGATTGCTTTAGGCAGTATGGCCAATTTTGACAATATTAATTCTTCCTACCTAAGAGCATGGGATGAGTTTCCATTTGTTAGTTCCTCTTTAGTTTCTCTTAAGAGTGTCCTGTAATTTTCAGGGTATAGGTCTTTCACTTCCTTGGTTAGGTTTCTTCCGAGGTATTTTATTCTTTTTGATGCAATTGTGGAGAGAATTGTTTTCCTGATTTCTCTTTCTGCTAGTTCATCATTAGTGTATAGGAAAGCAACAGATTTCTGTGTATTAATTTTGTATCCTGCAACTTTGCTGAATTCCGATATTAGTTCTAGTAGTTTTGGAGTAGAGTCTTTAGGATTTTTTTATGTACAATATCATGTCATCTTTAAATAGTGACAGTTTGACTTCTTCTTTACCGATCTGGATGCCTTGTATTTCTTTGTTTTTTCTGATTGCCATGGCTAGTACCTCCAGTACTATGTTGAATAACAGTGGGGAGAGTGGGCATCCCTGTCTTGTTCCCGGTCTTAGAGGAAAAGCTTTTAGCTTCTTGCTGTTAAGTATGATGTTGGCTGTGGTTTTGTCATATATGGCCTTTATTATGTTGAGGTACTTGTACTCCATACCCATTTTGTTGAAAGTTTTTATCATAAATGGATGTTGAATTTTTTCAAGTGCTTTTCAGCATCTATGGTGATGATCATGTGGTTTTTGTTCTTTTTGTTGATGTAGTGGATAATGTTGATGGATTTTCGAATTTTGTGCCATCTTTACATCCCTGAGATGAATCCCATGGTGTATGATCCTTTTGATACACTGTTGAATTATGTTTGCTAATATTTTATTGAGTATTTTTGCATCTACGTTCATCAGGGATATTGGTCTGTAATTTTCTTTTTTTTGTGGTGTCTTTGCCTGGTTTTGGTATTAGAGTGATGCTGGCTTCATTGAATGAGTTTGGGAGTATTCCCTCCTCTTCTATTTTTTGGAAAACTGTAAGGAGAATGGGTATTATGTCTTCTCTGTATATCTGATAAAATTCCGTGGCAAATCCATCTCACTTGGGGGTTTTGCTCTTGGGTAGTTTTTTGATTACTGCTTCAATTTTGTTGCTGGTAATTGGTGTGTTTAGATTTTCTGTTTCTTCTTGGTCAGTGTTGAAAGGTTGTATTTTTCTAGGAAGTTGTCCATTTCTTCTAAGTTTTCCATCTTGTTATCATATAGTTTTTGTAGTATTCTCTAATAGTTCTTTGTATTTCTGTGGGGCTCATCGTGATTTTTCCTTTCTCATTTCTGATTCTCTTGATGTGTGTAGATTCTCTTTATCCATTAATAAGTCTGACCAGGGGATTCAGCATGAATGGGGTGTTGAAGTCTCCTAAAATGAAGGCATTGCATTGTATTTCCTCCTTTAATTCTGTTAGTATTTGTTTCACATATTTTGGTGCTCCTGTATTGTGTGCATATATATTTATAATGGTTATATCCTCTTGTTTTACTGACCCCTTTATCATTATGTAATGTCCTTCTTTATCTCTTGTTACTTCCTGTGTTTTGAAGTTTATTTTGTCTGCTACTAGTACTGCAACACCTGCTTTTTTCTCCCTGTTGTTTGCATGAAATATCTTTTTCCATCACTTTACTTTTAGTCCGTGGATGTCTTTGTGTTTGAGGTGAGTCTCTTGTAAGCAGCATACTAATGGGTCTTGCTTTTATAGCCATTCTATTACTCTGTGTCTTTTGACTGGTGTATTCAGTCCATTTACATTTAGGGTGATTATTGAAAGATATGTACTTAATGCCATTGCAGGCTTTGAGTTTGTGGTTACCAAAGGTTCAAGGTTTGCATCTATACTATCTTACTGTCTAACTTAACTCGCTTATTATAAACACGGTCTGATGATTCTTTATTTCTCTTCCTTCTTATTCCGCCTCCTCCATTCTTCATATGTTGGGTGTTTTGTTTTGTGCTCTTTTTAGGAGTGCCCCCATCTAGAGCAGTCCCTGTAAGATGCCCTGTAGAGGTGGTATGTGGGAGGCGAATTCCCTCAACTTTTGCTTATCTGGGAATTGTTTAATCCTTCCTTAATATTTAAATGATAATCATGCTGGATACAGTATTCTTGGTTCGAGGCCCTTCTGTTTCATTGCATTAAGTATATCATGCCATTCTCTTCTGGCCTGTAAGGTTTCTGTTGAGAAGTCTGATGGTAGCCTGATGGGTTTTCCTTTGTAGGTGACCTTTTTTTTGTCTCTGGCTGCCTTTAATACTCTGTTCTTGTCCTTGATCTTTGCCATTTTAATTATTATGTGTCTTGGTGTTGCCCTCCTTGGGTCCCTTGACATGAGAGTTCTGTGTACCTCTGTGGTGTGAGAGGCCATTTCCTCCCCTAGTTTGGGGAAGTTTTCAGCAGTTATTTCTTCAAAGACACTTTCTATCCCTTTTTCTCTATCTTCTTCTGGTACCCCTATAATGCAGATATTGTTCCATTTCGATTTGTCACACAGTTCTCTTAATATTCTTTCATTCTTGGAGATCCTTTTATCTCTCTCTGCATCAGCTTGTCTGCATTCCTGTTCTCTGTTTTCTAGTCCATTAAGGGTCTCTTGCATCTTGTCAATTCTGCTTTGAAGTCCTTCAGAGATTGTTTTATTTCTGTATTCTCCCTCCTTAGTTCTTGCATATTTCTCTGCAAGTCTATCAGTATGGTTATGGCTTTTGTTTTGAATTCTTTTTCAGGAAGATTGGTTAAATCTATCTCCCAAGTTCCTTCTCAGGGAAAGATGTAGAAGATGTTGAACATGTCTGGTTTAGTCTTGTCTGGGTCAAATTTTTTTGACTTTTCATGTTGATAGGTTCAATGGTGAGCTATTGACTTGTCTGTCAGCTGGGAGAGCCAAGACTCTTTCCATTTGCTCCTGGCCTTTCTTTACTGGGACAACTGTGACCCCTAGTGGCTTGTGTTGGGCAATTGCATGTAGACTGGTTCTCTTTTATCTTGCTGGGCCTGTATGGGGAAGCTCCCTTGCTGTGGGTATGGCCAGCCTCAGGCTGCGGCTATGCTATGGTGGGGCCCATGAGGGGTAATGGATGGGGTACTGTTTGGCTGTTTACCTCAGTGAGAGGTCTCAGAGCTGTTTCCCAGGGCATTAGTGCGCCCGGAGTTCCCTGGAATTTCCAGCTGCTGGACTGTGACCCGGGATGCTTCCGTGCAGTTGTGGGGTCCCTGTCCATTTAAGACTTTCAAAAAACACTCGCTTTTCTTTGTCCCAGAGGTGCCGGCTTTGGGACCTGTTCACAGTTCTTACCGTCCTGCTTCCCTAGTTTTCAGCACCCCACGCATGCACTGTTTCTGCGCTCTGGTGCAGATGGCTAGGGCTGGGTGGTTAGCAGTCCTGGGCTCCCCCCTCCCTCCCCGCTCGACTCCTCTCCTCCTGCCATGAGCTGGGGTGAGGGGCACTGGGGTCCTGCCGGGCTGGGGCTTGTATCTTACCCCTTTCACCAGGTCCTGGGTTCTCACAGGTGTGGATGTAGTCTGTCTGTTTTCCTGAGTCTTCTGTTCTCTCTTTTAGGGATAGTTGTATTTGTTGTATTTTCAGAAATATATATGTTTTTGGGAGGAGATTCCCACTGTCCTACTCACGCCGCCATCTTGGCTCCACCTCTGTACAGCCTGTTATTAGGGAAAACACTTGTTAATAGTCACTCCTCTGTGTTGTATTATACCTTTAATTAAAGAATGTTAAAGGATTATAGGTTTTTTCTTTCATATCAGATATTGGGTATTGTGTTTAAAATAGTCTGTAGGAACTCAGATGTGTAGGTTAGAGATGTGATCTCTGTATATGCAGGTTAGCTCAGAGGTTCATGTCTACATGCAGTTATGACTTTCGGTGTAGTTGTTTATTGCCATGCTTCTGGTTGAGTGGTTAAGAGACAGGTTTTGTTGTCTGCCTGGCCTGAATTGGAATCCAATGTTATGAATTTGAGCAAATTGTTTGACCTCAAGATTCATTTTCCTTTTTAAATGAGGGATAATATTGCCCAGTTTTTATGGGTAATTTTCAGGTTTAAATAAGGTTATACATATTAAAAATTTAACGTGTAGTTTGGCACAAATTATGAATTGAAAAGTGGTGGCTGATATATTTCATGTGATGTTTGTATATTTTTTATGTATTATTTTTTATTTTCTTAATTTAATATTTCATATATTTTTATAATCTATTGACCCTGAGAGTTGACTGTTCTGTTATTTTATTCTCAAAAAATATTTTAATGTCTTCCACAGGAGTTTGTCTCTACCGTTATCCGTTTACTTGACAGCCCTTCAACCTCCATTAGAGCAAAAGCATTCCTGGTTCTTTTGTATATTTTGATTCATAACCATGAGATGCTGCTGCTCAGCTGCCAAGCAAGGTATGATTTTCTCTGTTGGTTTCATCAGTAAGTTCAATTTGGCACCTTTTTTATTAATTTTCTTAGTATTTCATGGTGTTTATGAGCCTAGTATTGAACCTTTTTTCCCCTAGATTTTTTCAAGGGCTTAGTTTTTTCACTGACATCCTCAGCTTGGGAACACTGAGGACCCTGAGAAGACCTTTAGAACTGAGTCAGAGTGGTGGGAAATACCCATAGTGCTCTGCATCTGAGTGCATCTGAGGCAGGTGGTTAGATGTGGGTCAGGTGTGCATCTGTGGGAGGCCGTCTTGATTGGTGGTCTGGCCACTGTCTTCACTGTTGTAGGGCTCTCTGAACCTTGGCAGGGCAGCCTTGTGAAGTAGAGGAAGAGGCAGGGTGGGAATCAAGTGTTTATGGAACTGGTCCTAGGCGGGAAGACCTGAATCTCTGGATTTTACTTCCTTTCTCTGAAAAGAGAGGGTATCCTGATGTGCCTCTGGTCTGTTCATGCTCTGATATTTCATGATTAACGTTTTCTGAGTTTTCTGGCCCATTTTCTGTTAAAGCCTAGAGGAACCTTGAAAATACAATTTAATATCTATTTCTTGATCCAGCTTTTCACTTAGCATAGACTACTGTAGAAAGTCTAGAATTACTGAGATTGAGACTTATGTAGATTAGGGATTAGAAATCCTTTTCCTGTAAACAGAGAGGAAAGTTTTTAGGATTTATGGGCCAAGAGGCAGATTTGTGGATATTATATATTTACTTGTATAATGAGAGAAAATACATTTCCACAAATTTTTATTGATATGAAAAATATAGTAATAATAATAGAAGGTCTTTTTTTTTGTAATGCAGTTCTACTTAGAAAGAATTCTATTTTGGGGGAGATAGAACATTTTGCTTAGTTAGGACTCAATGGCCATGTCCTCATCTTTAAATTAATTGCAGATATTCATGTTAGTGCTGATCTCGAATGCAATTTTATATCACCACCTGCTTTGAAAATGTCTTTTCCCACAGGTGGTACTGCCACATTGTGAGCACATGATTTTAACTGTCATTGCTTAGAAGGCATTTGTAGGGTTCCATTAATTCTTTGATGTTTGCTTTTGAGCATGTTATTACTTTGCTGATTAATCATTTAATGATTTCTAAGTGAAGGCTGTGTGAAGCCTCTTTGTTTCCCATGTCTCAAGTATCACTGTCCTTCGTTGTTTTATGTCCAGTGTCTGAAAAGTGATGTTTCATATTTTGTCTGTTTTTTAGTTTTTTTAGATGGGAAGGTGAATCCTGTCCCTGCTAGTCCATTAGGCCTGGAAGCAGAAGTTGCTCTTGTCTATTTTAAAAGGCCTCATCACTGGCTTTGCTGCCTCTAATATCTGCTTGTGTCTACTGTCATTTTTCATCAGGACAAATAATATCATTTCTCAACAGATGCTCTGACATCATTTCTTGTACTCACAGTCTGGTCTCCATGTTGCAGCTAGAGTATCTCCTAATAGCATAAATGTTTTCAGCTTTTGTTCATTCCCTTCTCAGACTCTTCTAATAATGTCCTGTCATGCTGAAATAATCCCCCTGCTCTGCCTTACTCCATCCAGCCCCTGCCCACTTTAGCCCTGGTCTTCTGTTTCTTTTCTTTGTGCTCACTCCATTCTGGCCACCAGGTCTTTGTGTTGCTTATGCACACTGACCCTGTTGTGCTCACCTTGGGGTGCTCCGCAGGTGCTGCTCCTTGTGCCTGTGTTTCTCCCAGATGTTTTCATGTCTGGCTTCCTCAGGTCATTCAGGTTCCTTTCAGTTCAAGGCTTGCTTCTTCTGAGAGCTCCTCTGATCATCCCACCTAAAAGACCCCTCATCACTTCAAGTCTGGAAACTCTTTAACTGGGAAGAACTAAACCACTAAACCATCAGAGACCTGGCATGATACACTTGTTCCTCCCAGGAAACTGCTGTGATTTCTGTGCATCTGAATGAATATTTAGAAACTTCAGCAGCTGTGGGAAGGCGGTGGCCTGAATGTGCTCCCTGACCCCACTGTCCACTCTGCCCTCTGGAACAGCACTGTGAGCAGGATGACTGTAGAGAAGGGCCTGGAAGATGAGACTTAGCCTTGCCTGAGAGGTGAGGGCAGGCTCCCTTCTCTCTGTGCTGTGTGGCAGAGATTAGACCTGTCCTTCAAGTCTCAGAGAATAGTAGACCTTTGGGCTGCCACAGGGTCCCAAATGCAGATGTTTTCTGTGAGCGGTTATTAGGGCTGCACTCCTGTTGCCAAGAGGTGTAGAGCAGGACGGTACAGGGGTCAGTCTGCACCAGTCTGTGAGGCTGCAGGGAGATGACTTCATTTTCCTGCATTTGAAGAAAACCACTCTCTCCCACCACCTGCTTCTTTGCCACAACCTGTCCTGATCAGGTGCAGAGTGGGTGAAGAAGTCATGAGGAAGTGAAGGAGTTCACAGTCCTGGGGGATGCAGTGCTGGCAGGAGACTGGACACGGGCAGCTCTCACTGCAGCAGAGCGAATGGAGCAGACAGACATCAGCAAGCAAGCAGCAGAAACTCCACGGAGAAGCAGTGTTTTAAGATTCAGCTGCAGACCTGGAAGAGAATGGCCCCTGCTGGGGACGGCATTGGTGCTTGGAAAGGTGGTGTGAGGGAATACACTGACTTACATGGAGGCCGATTACAAAGACATAGAAAATTCATGGAAAACAATAGGAAAGATGAAGTGTAGGTTCAGGAGATGTCACATGCCAGGAATTCCAGGAAGGAAGGAATAGGTGGAGGAGAATTTCTCATTAAAGAAATAATAGCCATTGTCTTACGCTTGAACATGCACTCTTCTGGTACTGTAGGAAATGGTGAGGAAGGGACTCAAAAAGTCACAAAACCACAAGGGGAAAGGAAGAGATGACCAAAGCTGATGAGCATTGTCACCTCACCACGTCTTTGTATTTTAGAAGGTAGAAAGCTGATAGATGTGTGTTTGCAAATTTAGAAGATTGGTGATTGCCAGGGTTCTTGTCTGTCTGCACAGGGAGAAGCCATCAGGTGACAGTACTGCATGTGACAGAACTCAGGCGAGGCTGAGAGGTGGAGGGACCGGTGTGTTTGAAGGCAGTGCTGTGAGGGAGGTGAGATCCAGGATAGGAGGGCTGATGGGAAAGCTGCCTGGAGGTTCTGTTCCCAGCCCTCCTCCCCCTCTTCCCCTGAACATCCAGGACCCGCCTCCACTGCAGCAGGAGGTTTGAAGTGTATTGTGGGCAGTGTGAACTGGAAAGGCTGCAGATGTGGGGTTTCAGATATAGGGAGAGGAGGTGCCTTGTGAGAGGTGTGTATGTATGAAAGTGGGCTGACTCTGCAGAGGTAGCATCCGGTCCTTGCCCCTCCTTCACGTCTAGCTACTGCAGGCCTGGCCTGCCATACTATTGGCCAGAGTTTGGAATTTCATCTCAAGGAAGCTCACTGATTCCCAGTAAAAGCTCTACAAGGGCTGACATTTGTGTGTCCCTTCTTCAGGTAGTGACACCTTGCCTGGTGTTCCTGTGGGGGACACTGTCGCACATAAGTCCTCCCCTCACACATGGACCACTCCCTGCCGCACTTCAGTACATCACTTTAAAATATGAAAGGGCAGCCAAGAACCACCAGATATCTGAGGGAAGCCTCAAACATGAAACACAAAAGCCAAAGCTCACCAACAAATGAAAGGGGCTTGGCAGAAAAAGTTCATGGAAAAAGGAACGAGGATAACGTTAAACCTACGGGTAAATGCTAAATCTTCCTCAGTTTAAGAGGGACACACCTCATTCTTCCTCATTATCTGAGATACCATTTCTCAGTCAACGCACTGACAGTGTCTGAAAGCTGTGGGGCATTGACACTCTCAGGCATTGCTGGTGGGAATGCGACATATTATAACTACTATGAAAAGAAATTTGGCAATATTTAGAAAAATGACATATTTTTACCCTTTTTTCTGGCTATCTCACTTCTGGGATACAGTGTCCCAAGATCTGTTATTAGCCAAGAAGTGGAATGACATAGGATCTGTGTACAGCTGTGGAGTGATCTCCGGTATTATTATCCTGAAAAAAGCCAGGTGCAGAACTATACTTATAGTAATTACCTTTTGTATAAGAAAGGGGTGAAAACAGGAATATGCATTTACTAATATTTTCAAAAAGAAAGAAAGGAAGGATAAGGAAAAAATTAACAAAAATGACAGTTTATAGGAAGAGGAAGAGAATGAGGAGCAGGGATGAAAACTGTACTTCTCTGAATGTACCTGTTTTATGACTTAGGTTTAAGAGCCATGTAAATGCTTTACATAAGTAAAAATAAAATTAAGTAAAAATGTTAAAAATGAAGCAGTTGCTAAAAATTGAAGACTAACCTGGTATCAAGTTTGTGATACAACTTGCTGAAGAAGAGATATTGAAGTGCTTTTACATAGTATTTGGCAGCATTTTAACTAGAAATCCAATTTCTTTAATGATTACAGGGCCATTCCAATTATTAATTTTGTCTTGGTTTAATTTTGGTAGCTTATGGTTTTTGAAGAATTGGTCAATTTCTTCTTTGTTACTGAGTTTGCAAGAATAACATTTTTTCTTAGTGTTGCTATTTCTAACTCCTGAGGATCTGTGGCAGTATCCCTTTTATTCCTGAGACTGATGATTTGTGTCTCCCGTCCTTTTAGTTTTTTACCAGTTTTGCTAGAGATTTATCAATGTGTTTGGTGTTTTTTAAAGTAATTGTTTCATAATTTTATTTATTTTCTGTTTGCAATGTCATTAATTCTCTGATTTTTATCATTTTTTCCTTCCCCTTGCTTTGGGTTTGTTTTGCTTTTCTTTTTTTAGTTTCTTAAAATTGAGATTATTGATATGACAGACCTTTTCTCTTTATAAAAGGTCTCATGTAAATTTAGTGCTGTGTCCCATTTTTCAGCAACACTTTTGCTGTTCTTATATTTATATTGTTGTTCAAGTTTTTTTCCCATCAGTTCTG